CTTCCTTCCTTCCTTCCTTCCTTCCTTCCTTCCCTCCCCCAATTTTCCTTGGATGTCCAGACTTGGCCTGTCTCTTAATCTGTCTACTTCTCTCCCTTGTGGCTTCTGTTTTTCTCTTTTCTCTTCCTTCGCTCCCTTTCCTGCCCTTTTCCTTTTGCAACATCCTACCCATCGGATCACTTTTCCTCGCCTCCAGTGAGGGGCCAGGCCCGTGCCATCTTCCCTCATTATACGGGTCTCCCTGTGCCCTCTTCGCTGCCTGGCCAGTGCCCGAATGACAAATGCCTCCTGCCCGCAGCAGGTTGGCCCCGAGATGAGGCCGTGCCATAGGGCATGATCCCACCGCGCGTGGGGTACTCCCAGCTTAGGGGTGCTTTCGGGGTGGCCACGGTGGTGCTTCTGCCTTCCATCCTGGGGACTGGCAGCCACTGAGCTACCGCAAGCAGGGCATGGCAGGGTTGGCAGGGCACAGTGGGCCAGACATCTGACAGGTCCTGGAGGCATCCCCCTTGGGAAAAATCAGGATTCAGAGAGCTCCTGACCCCACCCCAGATTTCCAGGTGGAGGCTGAGGAGGACATCAAGTCTGAGACCAGCGGCACCTTTCGGGACCTGCTCCTGGCCCTGGCCAAGGTGAGGACTGACTTGCAGAGGAACAGGGTTCCACCATCTGGGAAGGGTGTGGGACAGAGTGGGGAGCATTGTTCGGATATAATGGACAAGAGAGGGCTTTGTGGGGGGACCAGGTCTGGATTGTTGGCCTAGAGAGAAAAAGCTGCCCCCAAAGAGTCCTCCTGAGAGAGTTTCTCTTCGTAGGGGGCCCGTGAGAGCTACTCTGAAATCATTGACTACAACCTAGCGGAACAGGATGTCCAGGTGAGCAGGAGCTGAGGCGTCTGCCCTGCAAACCTGTCCTTGCCTTGGGGAAGGAGCCCTCAGTGGCGTGATGGGAGCATGGGGTGCCGGGTGGCGTCACATCTGAAGGCTTCTCACTCATCTAACCTCTGACTTCTGAACTCACAGGAAATGAGCTCATCAACTCTCATGGGCATTTGGGCGGGGGACCCTCCCCAGACTCTCCCTTGGGGATTATTTTATTCCTTGAGGGCCAGGATTTCCCCAGAGGTGGGATGAAGTTGTGAGAGCAGAGCTCCCCTTGTAGTCCTGCCCCCTTCCTTTTATAAAAACCTTCCCATTCTTATCCCGCTTCCACCATCATGGTGATGGATCCTGGGAACATAATAGCCATGGCTCCCCAGCCCCCACCGGTGATCCTGACTTACACCCCTTCCCAGGCACTGAAGCGGGCTGAAGGACCTGGCACAGAAGGGACATGGGTTGTCATCCTCACCCAGAGGAATCCTGAACACCTCGTCCGAGGTACACACCAGCCCTCTTGTCTCCCCCGCTTGCTCTAATGATGAGTTTGGGCTGCGGAAGGTGAGGCGGGCTCACCCTTCTCTGTGATAATCAGCGCCCCGCATTTATCTCTCTAACCACCTCCTCCGCACACCGCAAGTGTTTGATGGGTACCAGCGGTGCACCGGGTGCGAGCTGGAGCACACCGTCCGGAGCCGCTTCCATGGGGATGCCCAGGCGGCTCTGCTCAGCCTAGGTAGGGGCCCGCTCAGGATCCGGGGGAGGGGTCTCCCTGGAATTGGAGCGACCTCTCTCCATCTTTCCCTCTTTGCTTCCAGCCTCGGTGATCAGGAACACAGCACTGTACTTTGCTGATAAACTTCATCAAGCCCTCCAGGTGAGAGGGACACTCTTTTTCCCTTTTCCCTTAGGGACAAAAACTGGGGGAGACACTTCCTGGGCAAGGGAGATGAAGTCTCAAGCTGCTGCTAATGTAACAATCTCATATTTACTTTATAAACATATAGCAGAGCTCTCTTAGGTTTACAAACTCTCTTGTCAAAAGTAGAGGAGTGAACTGTGGTTAGAGCTAAGTTAGTTGACCATAAACAAGCTAAAATGTTGGCCTGATTAATGGCTAGGTGGCCAAATATAAATGTGAATTTGCCATGGAAGATAATGCCTTGTCTGGTTCCAGGTCTTGCCAGAATGGCAATGGTGATAACACCAGCCAGCATTTCTTAGGCACTCATTGTGCACCGGGGCCTATACTGAACACATTGCACACATTTCAGTTAATCCTGGTTTTGTAGATGAAAAACTGAAGCACAGAGAGGTTAAGTACCTTGCCCAAGGTCACACAGCTATTAAGTCTTATAGTCTCCCTACAAAACACATAATGGCCCTGTAGGACACTGAACTGCCACATGTCAACTCCTAGTCTATACCATAGGTATTAGTCTATGCAGTCCCACTTCATTTTATTGTGCTCATAGATACTGAGTTTTCACAAATTGAAGGTAAGACCCTCCACCAGCAAAAAGATCACAACTAAAGGCTTAGATGATAGTTAGCATTTTTAAGTAATAACGTATATTAAAATTAAGGTATATACATTGTTTTATTAGACATAATGCTATTGTACACTTAATAAACTACAACATAGTGGGTAAACATATTTTTACTATGTGTGACTCGCTTTATCATGGTAGTGTGGAACCAAACCAGCAGTACCTCCAAGGTTTGCCTGTACTATAAACTATACCACGAGCGCATCCAGGATCACCTTTCTCTGGTTGGATTTTATTCCATATTATCCATAATTAATTTGGTGACCTTGGTTTGAATAATTTCATAAATAGAATCCAGTCATTTTGCTCATTGAGCTGGGTCTCCTATTAGAACAACTGTCCTCCAAAATCTATAAGTAAAAAATCCTCTAAAATTTGAAGAACATAAAAATAGTTATCATTTTGGCAAATGGAATAGCTTTTTGTATACTGGTTGAGAAACCATCAAGCCTTGTTGACAGCTATTCAAAAGACAATACCAACAAAAAACAAAGACAGTCCATATAAGCACTTGTTTTACCATCCAGAGATTTCCATTTTGACAATGGATTATTATACTTACCCAATAAAGCCTGTACTATTATAATGAGTTGACACTAAGATTTCTTTGAAGAGTTATGGTAAAAACAAACTTGTATCCACTAGTAAATAATTGTAATGTATGTATTTGGATTATAGGACCCACACTTCTCAATATAAATGCCAGATTTATCTTAGAAGTAGGAGTTAAAAAATAATATAGGCCTATTTTTCTGAATTTTTGTAAAAAGCAGAAACTCCTAGAAAGAGTTTGCCAATTAGATGCCAAGTACATTCTCAAGTATCAAGACTAGGTTTATGTTTAATATAGGTTTGGCGTGGAGGGTACGCGTATGCCAGTGGGAATATTCAGTTAATGAGTGACCCTTGCCCCAACTCTACAACTTTGGAGTGACAAGAGTTGCAAGAAGGGCAGAATGGATAGTGGGGAGCAATCAGCAATCTTTATCACAATACAAACCTGATGATATGTGAAATTTAAAATAAAGTAGCCATCAGGCTCACTCGCCTTTACTTTCTAGAATAATTCACCAGGCCATCCAATCCCTGTTCTGTGAGAATCTTGAGGCCACCCCTCCCCACTCTGTTTCTTCCCCTGCTAGGAAACTGAGCCCAACTACCACGTCCTGATGCGCATCCTTATTTCTAGAAGTGAGACTGACCTTCTAAGCATCCGAGCTGAGTTCAAAAAGAAATTTGGGAAGTCCCTCTACTCTTCCCTCCAGGTGAGAGCTTTACCCCTATCTCCCCACTGCACTCCCTGTACACAGCTGAGCACGTGCCCTGGAGAATTCATGAGTCTTCGGTTAAGTTAGTGTAAGACTCCAAGGCACCAGACAAGTTCTCGACCAGCACGAGGGAGGGGGCAGAGCGCCTGGGCCATGGTGGTAGAAGGTCTTTCTACCACTTAATTCTCTTGCCTGCAGGACGCAGTGAAAGGGGACTGCCGGCTAGCCCTGCTATCCCTGTGCAGGGCTGAAGACCTTTGAGACGCCTCCCCTCTCCATCCCCACATGACATTCAAGGATCTGAGACGCCCATATTTGGCTGAGCCTGTAGGAGACCAGCTGGGCCTCCAACTAGGATAACCCCTCACTGAGTGTCACGTGTTCCAGCATCTTGTTGAGGCTGGAACTCGAAGTTTTCTGTTAAATCCCTTAATTTCCATCATCTCAAAGTGATATCTGCACGTGGGTCCCCTGGTTCTGCCTTGGGTGTGGGTTAATGGGATCTCCTGGATAGTTTCTGCCCTGCTCGTTCTTGCCACGCCCTGGGCAGAGCATCTCACTGATACTGGTAGTCTTTTAGCCAGTTTCATTCTTGTTTGTGTTCCCTGGTTGAAGTTTGGGTGGAGCAGGACATGGGGCTGGGAGGAGGCCTTGAAGGTGAAGGTGCCTTTGATGTGCTTTTGGCTATTCAACAGGAATCCTGTTTTGAGCTCTAGCGCTGCACTTATCAACAATCCTCCTCCCTAAGGGTGTTCCACCCCCACTCCCCATTATTCTCTCTTCCCCAGGAAATTTCAGGCAAAATGATTGAGAAAGAGGAGCCTGAACAAGGTCAGCAATGGTCAGAGGTAGCAAAGGACCATCTATAAACTAGGAGGCAAGACGAGGATCAAGCTGCCCCTTGCCTGCCTGGAAAGTTTGGGGCTAGCAGGGAGCACAGTCCCAAAATTCATCTGTCCAGAGCGGGGATGTGGAAACCCACCTCCAAATTAGAGGGCTATTTTCCCAAAGAAGACCTGTCAAAGACACACCCCAAAACAAAAAGGAAAATGCAGGCTCTGGTTCCCCCTGCTGGCTCCTTTAGGTATGACAGGCAGCCCCTCACACCTCTACCCTCCCTCCCCTTTTACATTCCTCAATTGGGTCAAATGCTTAACCACTTGACCCCATTGCTACAGGATACAGGGTGAGGCAAACAACAGATCTCAGGAGACAAGTTTTATTTCCAAATCCCTAGGAAGGCATTACAAATAATGAAGATAGAAACCCAAGTCACATCCTGAAACAAAGGGAGAGGCACCTGCAGGATAGCAGGAAGGACCCAGCCTGTCAGGGTGGGAAGTAGGAGAGATGCCTTCAAGACAGGGGCCTCACCCTGGAGCCCGAGTCTATATATTAGTGTGATATTCTGGGGAAAGGGAGTTGGGAATCAGAAATCCTCACCCCACCAGTCCCACTGTTGCCCTGGGTGATTGGGAGGAAGAGAAGGCCGCAGCCCGGGACAGCGAGGATGTCACTGAGTCTGACCTTGACATTTACATCCTGCTCTGATCCCCAACAGTCCATAAATAAGTTACCCTGCATATCTCAGGGGTTGACCTGGGAGAACAAGCAAAATAGCCACAGCCTCTGAAAGGAGAGGCGGGGCAGCCTGGCTCTGGGCAGCGCTACAGGAGGACACAGTCGGACTCTTGCTTTGGCCTCCGCCGCCGCTCTCCAGCTGGGCGTCCAGATGGGGCTCCTCTCCCCTGTGTGGGATTTAACAAGTGGTCATCCACCGGCCTTGGAAGAGCACAAGGACAGAGAGTCTAGATGGAAGCAGGTTCAGGATTGGGAGAGAAAGAGAGGAAAGGAACCAGGGGAGAGGGCCAGACAGGAGAAGCTCCCCCAGCCCCTGCCCCCAAAGGAAACCTTGAAGAGACAATCACAGGAATAACAATCGCCAATATCTGGACAAGGGGAAGCAGGGGTGGAACACTGGGGAGGTGGGAACTTGGAGGAGCTGCAGCGAGCGCTAAGGGCAGGGTACTGCGGGCTCACCTGTGGCAATGGGGCCCTTGCTGGCACAGGCTGGACCCCTTGTTGCTGTTGGTACTCCTCCTGCTGAAGCTGCTGGGCCAGCTCCAAGTCGCTAAGACCCAACGTGCCCTGTGGCTGCTGCTGCTGCAGGGACAAGGCGATCAGGTAGTCCTAGAGAGGGGGAAGAACAAGGGTTGTGAGGTGGGCTGCAGCCTGGGAGATATTCAGGCCAGGTTTAGGTTTCCAAACCAGTTTTTCCTCAGCCTTCAATTTCTCTAGCTCTTTCCCCAGAACACACAGCCAAGTATGTTCTCTGTAGTGCCAGGGATGCACACCAAGTGTGGAGATGGCCTCACGATGACAGGAAAGGGGCACAGGTGTCATATGTTATCATCTCTAATGATACAATGCATGCAGCTCCCGGATGGCAAAAAGGTCTCTGAGGCTAACGAGCTCTCTGCGCCCTTCCCCCAAAGTCCCACACACCTGGTCTACCTGCCGCTGCTCCGGGGAGCCGCTCCCACCTTCTGCTCCAGGCCCCTTGCCCAGGGAATGACTTAGGTGAAAGTCAGAGTCACAAAAGCAGCTGTCTCCGTCCACATTGTGCAGGCTCTCCCACACCACTTGTTCCTCCTGTAGAAAGCCCTGGTCGGTGACCAGTAAGTACAAGTGACTCTGCAAGAAGAAGACAAAGGTAATTAGTGGGATAGAGGCAGTTTACTGCCCCAAATCACCTGAGATGCCCAGAGACCATTCAAACCAATTGGTGTGCCCGCTGGAACATGTCAGTATGAGCCTGTGGGTCTTTTATGAGTATGTGTGGCTGAGGGGAGAGGGAAGGGACGTTTGAGTGGACGGTCAGCCGGGTGAGAGTATGGTGCTCACCATGGTCAAGCGTGGAGTCCTCAGAGCTGGGGTCCCACACAAGAGCCTGCTTCCTACCCTACTTCCCACTGTTCTCCAGGCTCACCTGATGCCTATGAGGGGAAACCCTTTGAGAAGCAAAGACCTCTTCCGCTTCTCCTCAATTCCTAGAGCTTAGAGAATTTCTAACTTGGGAAGGCTATAGTATTGTTAAAAGTTCCCTTCCTGGGAGAGGAGTACACTTTCCTGACCCATTGATGGCAGGCTTATTCCTTATGGCTTGCTCTGGTCAGTGAGATGGTAGCAGAAATGACATGTGTCACTTCCAGGCAGAAGCACTAAAAGCCAGTGTGTGGTGTCCCTCCCATATTCCGGGTAAAAGCTGCTATGTCAGCCTGAGACCCAGGATGAAGATGATGTGGGACAGAACTGAGCCAGTCGGCAATGGACATGCAGCGGTAGTGAGAAATAAACCTTTGTTATGATGAACCACAGGGACTTTAGGGGTCATTTGTTACTGGAGCTTAAGCTACCCTGCCCTGACTGCAACACTGACCCAGAAGGAGAAGGCGTGAGGAAATAAACGGCACTCCAACCCTCCCCCACCCCCAGCGCCTGATCACCTTGTGCTTAGTCAGAGTGCTAAAGTGGTTGTTTCGGAAGAAGACGCTAAGTTCACCCTCCTTGGCAGCTGCGGTCAGCTCGCACAGTCCGTGGTAGGTCAGCTGTGCCGCGGTGGTCTCCAGGAACTGTTCTGCAATCAGGCCTGCCAAAGGGCACAAGAAGGGGGGGCTTGGCTTCAATCCACAGTCCACAGAAGGCGGATCATCCAGAGAGTCCCTGTCAAAAGGCCTAGGGGTGGTCCCACCTTCTGAAATCTCTTCCCTGAAACCTGTCTGTATTCATTCATTTGGCAAACAATTGCTGAACAGCCACCTTGTGCCAGGCACTGCACTAGGGGGACACATCGTGAACTAACACAGTTCCCCACACTCCCTCTCATGGCATTTACAGTCTAGTGGGATGTAGTTGGGGGAGACAGACAATAACCAATAAATCTAAGTAGCCATCGTTCCCTCCACATAAGATCCACAGGAGAGAAGGGTGGGAGTTCACCTTCTGTCACAAGGTTGGTGTCGCTGGAGTGCTTGCAGGTGATGATCTTCTCCACCAGCTGATTGTAACTCAATTTCCCAACTGCACTCACAGCCTCAGGACTCTGCGTGGGCAGTGGGGTGGGGTGATACCAAAAAAACACACCACCTAAGATCTTTTTAGGAAGGAAATGAACCAAGCCCACAAGGACTGCAACCCTAGGACCAAAGGTTCCTGAAACTTTTGCTGTCTAAAGAGCAGCATACAATTTGTTTGTATTTGTTACCAAAAAAAGTTTAATATTCAAGGAATTCTCCACTGGGTGCTGCCTCTAAGCCTGATTCCCCTTCCAAGCCAATTTAATCCCTACATCCCTAACCCTATCTCCCTAACCCCCACCCCACAAAAGGATGCTTCTCTGTCAGCTTGAGCTGGATAAGAGTCTTATTTGGGCCCTCTCACCCTCACCTGTGGATCAACAAGCCAGCCGTGGTACAGAGGTATCCCTAGTAGGTCGAAGATACTGCACTCAGGTGTATATTCAAAATCTGAGACGCCTGTGAATCGCACGTTGACATCCAGGCCTGTGGCCAGTTTAGGCAATACCGTCATTGCATCGTCCACATTCTGGGGGTAGAAAAGAAAATGATGGATTTATTAAATCAACACATTGTATATCTTTATTGATTTGTGTGGGGGCTTTTTGAGAGAGAGGAAGGGAGAGGGAGAGAGAGAGAAACATGGATGTGAGAGCAAAACATTGATTGACTCCCTCCTGCAGGCCCCCTACCAGGGATCAAGCCCAAAACCCGGGCATGTGTCCCGACCAGGAATTGAACCGGCAACCCTTCAGTGCATGAGATGATGCTCAACCCACTGAGCCACACCTGCCAGGGCAACACATTGTATATCTTAAACTTATAGGATGTTATATGTCAAGTATAGCTCAATGAAGCGGGGGAGGGGAAAGAAAATGATGGTCTAGCCTCCCCTCCCCCCATTCCACTCCCACCCCCAGAAGTAAAAAAAAAATTAATCTTGTTGCTTTTCTTCCCTGGTTCTCTTAAAAGCCATTCCATTCCTCCCTTGTCTCAACCCTTCTTTGTCTTATATAAATGAACATATTCTCTAGGACAGAGATTTACCCCCCTCTTCCTCCTGCAGAAAGAAATCATAGTTCAAGGAACCCTCTTGAGAAGCAGCAGAAAGGCTTCTTTTAACAGCCTGGGTGTCCCCTTACAAGCCTGCAAATCCCTTTGTCCACAGACTTTTCTGCTCACCTGCTGAAAATTAAGCTGAAGTCCCTCTGACTTTTCCTGGGGCTTGATGGACAGGAGGCAGTCTCCTACAAGACAGGATTCCTTATCAGTTTACCCCACCAACTGCTCCCAAAGCTGCTTCCTCTTCTCCTGGAGAATGGATGGGGGTAATGTCATAGGCCACAGGTTTTCAGAGCTAGAAAGGACCTTAGAATCTAATCCTGACCTTTCATTTCCTAGGGGAAGAAACCAGCTGACAAAGGTGAAGGGCCTGCCCAAGGTCACATGTGAAAGCTAAGGGCAGAATTGGGGTTACAACTCAGGACTCCTGACACCTCGACTTTTGCTTTTAATGCTCCAGCCTTGCAGAGATGCCCCAGAGACCTCCACCCTCCCTGACACATCAGAGCCCCAGATGGGAAGTCCCTCAATATTCTGGATTTCTGGCTGAGTGGATAGTGCTTGTAATTCTGTGTAACTCTTCTTCAAGGCCTAGTCACTCACCAAGATGGGCCATGAGCTCATCGGATGTGACCACTTCCTTCTGAGGGGGCAGCTTCACCTGGAGGCAGAGGGGCGATCAAAGGGTCAGCCATGTGTGTGCCTTCCTCCACAGAGCACTGAGGGAGAGACCCACAGAAAGGTATGGGGAGGGCAGGGGCTGTCCAGTGGTAGGGTGAGGTGGAAAAAGAAGGCTTGCAATGCAAGCAAGGGAGTGAATGTGAAATACTGCAAGACATTCCCATTTGCTAGAGAGTAGAAGATATGGGAGTAGGACAGAGAACTGTTTGTTTGTTTTTATGAACATCTTATCTCATTTGTTCAAGCTGGAGAAATAGGGAAGTTTTGACTTGCTTGTGAAAATTAGGATGATCAAGGAGGTAGGTCAGGGAAGAGTCTTCTCCCCAGCATTTTCTGAGCCCCCATCCAAACTCTCTCTTACCTTCCACTGGAGAAAGAGGATGTTCATGATGGCGAGGAGAGGGCAAGGGCCATTAGTGCTCTGGGTGATGATGGGTGTCCGCTCTCCCTTCCAGGGGATCCACTTCACACAGTAGAAATCAAGCTCAAGCTGTTGGGCCCTGGGGGACTGGGGAAGCTCTTGGGGCCTGGAGCACGCCCCCTCTGTCTCTACCTCGGGCTGTGTCCCGTGGTCTGGCCCTGGCTGGTTTGAGCTAGTGTCAGGTGGAGGGGATTCAAGATTATCCTGGCCCTGAACCAGCAGTGACCCTTGATCTACCGGCTCCTGTTCTCCAGCCACCGCATCAGCATCTCTGGCCGCCTCATCAGCATCTCTGGCTGTTCCAGCAGCATCTCTGGCCACCCCATTAGCATCTCTGGCTGCTCCGGCAGCATCTCGGGCCACTCCATCAGCATCTATGGCTTCCCCAGTAGCATCTCTGGTCACCCCATCAGCATCTCCAGCATCCTTGCCCTGGGGGTGCTCATCTGGTACTGATAGAACCTCGTGGTTTTCAGGGCTGACCGCTTCTGCAGTCCTGGCCTTGCCAGCGACTGGACACTCAGGTTGGTGGTGTTCCATGATAAGAAGTCAACAGAGGGGCACCAAAGGACTTTACAGTCCTCAGGAAGTTGCCTAATCTAGGCTTGATGTGCAAAAGAGAGGCTGATTCAATAAGAAGGAAATCATTGGGCTGGAAAGCAAATAGGCCCAGGAAAATCTTAGAAGAGAACTGTGGTGTGGAAGGCTGGCCAGTGTCTGCAGTCACTCCTGGCAGTGAGGAGTAGTGTCTTTGTCAGCTTGAGTAAACAGAAGAGCAGCCCCAGGCTGAGCTCTTTCACCTCTAATGCGCTTTCAGGTCTGGGAGGGATGATTCTAGTGGGATAATTGAAGACATTGGGTGGAGTCAGCTTCCCTGGAACAGACAAGGACAAGGAATGTAGAAAAGACAGGGAAAAGGAGAATACAAGGAGGAAGACAGAAGGGAAAGAAATGGAGAAAGAAATGTTACAACTATATTATTAATGGTTATTAAAGCAATGATCTTTAGCTCGCCCTGTAATGGGCATCACATTGGTAGCCTCCGCCTTCGTGAGGATCCAGGTAATTCCTCTGCCCTACACCAAACCCTGCCCCTTGGCTGTTCATGGACCACCCTGAGCACACGCGAGCTGCTTGTATCCTTAGGACTGACTACCTTCTCTCTGCCTCATCCCGGGCGGAGAGATGAACAGTCACATAGCGCTTGGGGTGAGGTGTGGAGATGCAGAGTCAGTATCGTGCCCCCTAAAGAAAAACACTGTTGAGAAAGAAGTCCTCCTCCAAGGACTCCACTGAACTTTACACAATCTCAAACCACAACAAAAAGGTCTTGGGAGGGGCTTCCTGTTGGTCGGAGAGGGGAAATGTAGGCCGGAGGGACCTGAATCAGAGACTGTGCTGATAAATAACTTCAGGTTAGGAGCACAGAAACCACTCCCCACACACACTTTTCTCGTAAGCTTCTCTGGACACTGGAGTTGAGGTACCAACTTCTCCTAAGTTTCTCTTTGCTCCCCAAGCTGCCTTAACCCAGAGATACTCTCTTGCCACTATTTATATGGAATATAAAAATGCTGATTATTGATTTACATAAAAAATACTCCCTCTACATTCATTTACGTGCTCATATGTTCTGTTTGTTCCCATCTAGGTCATTTTAGAACACTGGACCTGTTTAACCTGCTCTGTATCAGCACTAAGCATCAAGTTCAGCAGGGAGAGACATTTAATTAATGCTGTGGATAGTAAACGATAAAAAAAGCCATAAACCCCTGCCCTCTGGAAAACATGCTCCCCTCACCTCTGACTCAGGGTAAAAAAAGGTGAGAAATTAAACTTGCCCTGGCTGGGTAGCTCATTTGGTTGGAGTGTTGTCCCCGATAAGCCAAAGTTGTGGGTTCAATCCCTGATCGGGGCACATATAAGAATCAACCAATGAATTTGTAAATAAGTGGAACAACAAATCGATGTTTCTCTCTTTCTCTTCCCCTCTCTCTGTCTCCCCCCACCCTCTCCTTGCCCTTCCTCTCACTCCCTGAAGTTGATAAATTTTTTTTTAAAAGAAATTAAACTTGTCAGAAATCTTGTTTTTTCTCCGGCTTCTTCCTAACTTGAGACTATGCTTCCTTCTTGTAATCCTGCAGGATTGAGGGAAAGGGTAAGGCCTGGGAGATGATGAGGAACATAAAAGTTCACAAAATAAGCCTAGTCACAGTTATCATCCTCCTGATTCAAACATAATTTAAGCCAGCAAAAAACTGTCTACAGGCCTGACACTTTGTTGTTCTCTCTCTCCTTCTTTCCTCCCTTCCCAAGTGACATTTAGGAGGAGCCTGGGAAGTAGGAACCAGAGCCTGGGAGAGTTAAAAAAGCTTGGAGAAAAGCAGGGCTCATTTCTTATCTTTTCTGGCCAATGCTAGAAATGATCAATAATTAAGTGGGGGTTGGGCAGCTAGTTGGCTAGAGAGATGAGCCAAAAGAAACCAGGAGCTGGACTCCGGAGGGAGCTGGGTATCAGAAAAACTGGGCAAAGCTAAGTGGGCTAAGTCTTAGGAGGCGGGGCAGGAAATGGAATGGAGGCTTTCCACTCCGTAAGGTGCACACCTGGTGGGGTGGGCCTGGAGTACTTCAGAGCAGGGAAGGGTGAGGGGAAGGGACTCTGAACAAATCAGATTCCATTCTTTTCCTCTTCTTTCCCCCATTCAAGTTCTACATGTTCCCTCCAGCAGGAATTATCTTCTGGCTATGGGGGAGGGAGTTAAAATAGCCCTGGCCCCTCCCTACTGGTGGCAGTAAGTAGCCAAAAGTTGGGAGAAGCCTATAAAATGGGTAGGGAGCTTCAATAAGACACCCATCCCCCCCATCCCAGGAACTTTCCTCTCCCCACCTGTCCCTTACTGTCCCACTCCGATATCCTTCTCAGTCTGACCCAAATCTTCAAGCAACTAATGGTTTAAATTTTCCCCTCAGAGTAAGTCAACCACCACCACAGTGCTTGCTCGCAATGGAGAGGGGGAAGGTTTCATGAAAAGAAAAAATTAAGGAACCAAGCAGCATCCCTTTTACATATTCCCCCTGCCTTACTCCTTCCTCTCACAGTCCAGACCTGTAGGTAGGACAGTCAGTGTCACCTCCCCAGAGCTGGAGAGGAAAAAGAGAACTGGGAGTAGAAGGGGAGGTGAAGGAATTGGATAAAAGAAAGTTTTTACCTTCAAGAAGGTTGTTCCAGGACTGAGAAGGAGGGTTCGGCTCCGGCAATTCGATGGGGGCGCCGCCACAGTGCCAGCTGCCTTCCAGCTGTCAACGCCAGAGCTTAGGCAGGTTTACGAGCCAGCGGCGCCCAGGCCACTTCCGGACCCACGCCCAGGACCCAGGGCACCCGAGGAGGCGAGGGCAGGCAGGGGGCAGCTCAGGTGCTCCCGGGCTGCTCAGAGCGCGTCCTCAGCATTCCCCGAGCCGCCGAGTCTAGGGCGTGCGATCCAGGCCCCGACTCCAAGCCGGTTTTCAAAGGAAGTTTGAGGTTTTTCTTTTTTTCTTCTTTCTCTCTTTCTTTTCTTCCCATCGGGACAAAGAAAAATTAGCCAAGGACAGGCTCCCTGGAGGAGGAGGGGACTGCCCAGCTCTGGAGGGTTTCCATCAGGGCTTTCTGACCTGGTCAGCAGCTTAGTGATCAGCAGCGAGGGAGAGAGAAACAAGGAGAGAAAAACAACAGACCCTTTCTCTTCCCTCCGCCTGCCGCTGGAAGGGACGGAGCGCTTGTGCCTCTCTGGTGAGAATAGGGAAGAGCAAGTGCCCTTGCTGAGTGGGGAGGAGCGGGGCTGGACAGCAGCGGCGGGCTGGATCTGGGCTTTCTCCCTGGGTATAAGGCAGTCCTTTGCTCTGGATCCACAGAGGCAGGACCAAAGAGCAAGGTATTTGCATGTCCAGTCATTTGCAAATTTAAAATCCTACTTCTTTTCAAGTCCTCACTCTCTCACTTTTTTAGTCTAGAAATGACACTGGTTAGGCTATGCCCCTGGTCGTGCAGAAGGTGTGGAAGAAAGCCCAGGCTCTGGCAAGAAGAATGCAGCAGGGAGAGAACAAGCTGAGCAAGCAGGAGATCCAATATCCCTGGGCTCTGATCCTTGTTCCCACCACAGGCCTCAGCTTACACCCGTCACCTCCCCTCAGCTCCTAGCGTGGGGAGCAGGAAAAGCTGGTGTCAGACTGGTGGTAGGAGATAAAGGGATGGATTTTAAAAGGAGGGAACATTTGATGATGAGAATATATTTATTTGCAACACTGCATTACGGTGGGACTGGAAGGTGGCAGTTAAAGGAGGTTGGGACCCAACTCTGCATTCTGAAGGGCCCTCCAAACTCTACTTGCAGGGTTGCCATAGGATGAAACTTCAAGCAACTCTGAAGGCTGAAAGGGCAGTTGAAACAATTAGGGAGGCAGGGAGCAAAGAACACGGGATACGACAGTTCAGGAAAAGAGCTGTATTAAAAACAGGCCACAGAGTTGTAAAGAAAGCAGCAGCAGGAACTGGCAAGAGATTGTAGGTACTAAGAAGAGGGTCCAAAGATTATTTTAATGTTTTTATAAGATGCACAATCACAAAGTGGGTGACAATGGGTCAGTTTGCTAAAGGGAGAGAATTCGAGAAAGGAAGATGAAGAAGAGCCGTTCTGCGATGTGTAATTTAAGATGTCAACCAGAGGCTCGGTGTAACATATGGAAAGATGCTATACTTAGCCTGACTCGAAAGGGAAAGTTTAGATGTCACAAAGATAGGGTACTGTGACATATATACGCTGTGTGTCAAATGAGTGATCTCAGAAAATTCTCTCAATTCCTGGGGCCTTTTGGGAGCTTCTGGACTACGTTTCCCAAGACGCCCCGCGCCACGCCCCACTTGAAGCCTCCAGAAGGGCGTCCCGTGAGACTCCGAGCGCAGAACTCCGCCTCCGCCGCTGGGGGCGGGGCGACGTCGGACTCCGGGAGCGTCGGATTACGCACTTCCTCCCGGGGTCGGGGCCGAATCGCCGTGTGGCGAGTTCGAGTCCCGCCTCCTGACTCTCACCGCAAGTCCTTGTGTCTGGGGCGGGGCGCATTCGCCGGGAAACCTCTCCGCTGCGAGGGGCGGTGACACGCGTTGGGCTCCACCATGGAGGACTACCTGCAGGGTTGTCGAGCTGCTCTGCAGGTAACGGACCCCTGTCGGCGATCGTGAGGGATGGATCATGGGGTCCAGGAAGGACGAAGATCAGGGAGCTGGGGAGGGTCTGTGTGGAGGGAACACGGGTGGGGCTTGGGATCTGATGAGGCTTGGGGCCTGAGGAGTGGGCAACGAGAATCTAGTCTTGAGAGAGGGACTGCTGCTCAGGCTCCCGGGTCTTGGCCCCCTGCCCCAGAGCGGGAAGGAGAAATCCTGGGTCTGGGTCCTGTATCTGAACCTCTGCTCGCAGTCGCCTGGGTCAGTTATGTCAAAAGGTCCAGGGCTGTGCCGCCGCAAGGGATGCCCCGCGAGGTGTGTTTGCCCCTTTCACCCCACCCCTCTTTCAGTTCTACACTCGCAAGGCCTCCTTGATCCCCCGGCCTCCAGGTGAACCCCCAGGGTCCGAGGAAACCTGTGCTCATGGCTTTATTGCCTCTGAACGGCGGTTTCTACCTGGGGCCCCTGACTCGTCCTAGATTAGAGGTGGTTGTGGTATTTCCCTGCTTTTAAGATAAACATATACAATATATGTCTGTTGACCAGCAACCTGCATTCCTTTGCCTCCAGTTTTCTTCCTTGGCCTTAAGGCACACAGATTACATAAAAACAAACAAAAAAAAAAACACACACAAAACCCACACCTGGAAGATAAACACAAAGCGTGTTTGGAATCAAAACTATAAACATAACTCTTGAATGCTTTCTGGCTTATTTTTGGTACTCTCTGAGCCAGTTGGAATCTCCCAGCCATGCAGCCTTAGGCTGCTATCCCCAGTTAGTAGCAAAAGCTGGCCACAGAGAGGCTCCAGGATGTCACCCGTTCCCCCTACTTCAAGCTAGACTGCCCCTGTAGAAACCTAGACAATTGGTTGGTTGTGCTTTCCTTTTTTAAGTATCTTATACTCTGAAAATACTTCTGGGCAGTAGATTCTGGTCTTTAACACATCTTAAAAGTGACCTGATTCCACCTGCAGACTCAGCTGCTGGCATAAATGAACGTTCTTACCTGAAGAATAGGAGTGAAATTTAATTTTAACACCAATTACTTGCAAAATACAAATTTCGGGAAAGTTGTTTTAATGCATAAGGCAAATTGGAATTAATTCATTTATGTTACCTCCAATTTTCACCACAGGGAACTTTGTGGCACCATTCCAAGTGCTAAGCAGTTGGATTCCACCCCTACCCCCATCCCCTTCAGTAACCCAAATGACTGGTCTCTTTCCCACCATTTGGTAAAGAGCCCTTGGAATTGAAACCTCACCCAGTAGCATTTCATTGAATGCATGTATCCTACAGCATCTACCCTCCAGAGCATCCCTCCCCCTTTCAGGTTAACAGTATATCTTCTATAGCAGTATGAAGCTGAAAATACTGGATTTTTCTAATATTACTGGTATCCTGACCTTTCTCTGCCTGCATTCATCCCTCAAGGAGCAAGAAGACCTAGATCTTAATTTTTCCTTGAACTTGTGAAGATGAGGTTGTATCTTAGAGCTCTCATCATCACATAGCCTAGCCAGGGCCAGGAGAAATGAGAACATTTGACACTAGAATTGTTAGTTGGTGAACTGGTGGCAGGAGGTACAGGTGGACACCAGTAATTTAGATTGCTTTTAGTTGTATAAGTTGTAAATGTAGATGGTGAACATTTTAAAATGCAAAATGGATATGAAATTAAAAAGATCCTTTTTCTTCTCCCCATCTAATTCCCCAGAGGCCACACTTGTTTCTTGTGTAAAGAAAGTACTAGTTAACCCTGCCCTGTGTGGCTCAGTTGGTTGGAGTGTTCTCTCTACACCAAAAGGTGGCCTGTTAGATTCCCGGTCAGGGCACATACCCAGGTTATGGGCTCGATCCCAGGTCAGAGCTCATTCGGGGGCAACCCATTGATGTTTCTCTCTGTGTGTCTGCCTTGCTTTCCCTTTCCCTCTCTCTCCCATTCCTCTCTCTAAAAAATCAATAAATTTTAAAAATAAGAGAAAGTATGATTTAGAGACACTGTTAACATTTGAGTATTCCCGTTAAACTATAATTTAACTTGTAGGGAATCGTGAATGCTTGACTTTTACACCATATAGAAATGGCTGATAACCCAGACAACTCTCTTAATACCATATTTTTAGCATTCGATACCAGAGGAATTTTCTACAGCCTCTGCCACAATGACAGTAGGATGTTCCATTTAAAAGAAATCCTGACTCATCCCAAGTGGGGAAAATGTTTTGCCTCAGGGTGGGGCTGCATTCGAGGTTAGGTGTTCATCCAGCAGCCTTTGGATAATCTGGGTGGTCTGTACTTCTCAGGCATGAGGCAGGAACCAGGAGTGGCTGGCTTTCCTGAGAAATTGACAGTCCTGGCATCAGTATTAGTTCCATTTTCTCTGCTGGGAGGGTTTCTCTATCTCTGGCTCCTTGTCTCCTTTTTCGCCCTCCCTCAGTAACTATTTTGTAGAGTAGGCATCAGACCATATTCAGCTTCAGAATGGAACTCAGGGCTTTGCCAGCCCTGGAACCCATCCCCTCTCCCCCCACTGAGGCCAGAAAGAACATCAGGATATAGTCATTTCAAGTAGTGGGTTGTTGTTTGTTTGTTTTTTCAGGAAAAAAAAAAGTTTATATTTACTTATGGCTCTCAGATTGTATTTCTTCCATTGGCAGCTTAGGTTTCCTCATGCTCTAAGTATAGCTATATTTGCTCTGAACTCTTCCCCCATGGTCAGAAAACTGAGGCTGCTGTGCTTGTGCTTTCAGCTGGTGGGGGGTGGGGTGAGGGTAAAGAGTTGCACACGTTTGTCCCAAATGAGGAGAATGTTTCTGTATAAGTTGGGCAGCCATATACCTGCCCTGCCCAGGACAGTCTTAGTTTATTCTGACATAGTCATTAATCGCAACCCCCTTTCCTTCTCAAAAAGTGTCCTGGTTTGAACAAAGTGTAGTGAGCTCCTTAAGGCAGAAGTAAAGTTCCGTAGGAGAGCCGCAGATGTCAGCAGTGGGAGGTTAGAGGAAGAGGATTGCTCTGGCCTGGCCAATCGGGGAAGGCTTCCAGAGAGAGGAGGCTTTGAATAGGGCCTGACTACACCTGGAGGGGGAGAGAAGGAGACAGAAGGGAGCCCATCTTGACTACAACAGAGTAGGCACTTATGTGCTGTCTCTCTCTTTTTTTTAAACAGACTTTTTAAAAAGATCTTTTTTTTTCATTGATTTTTAGAGAGAGAGGAAGGGAGAGAGAGAAACATCGATGTGAGAGAGAAACATCGATTGGTTGCCTTCCTCCCGCACACCCCCCGACTAGGGATCGAACTGGCAACCTGGGTTTGTGCCCTGACCTGGAATGGAACCAGTGACCCTTTGGAGCCTGGGACAACACTCAAGCAACTGAGCCACACCAACCAGGGCTGTGCTGTCTCATTTAATCCTCATAACAACTTCATGACATTTATTACAGTACTATCTTCATTTTTAAAATGAAAAATGAGGCTTATTAGGGTGGTCTTTTCAAATGTCAGCTCCACTGCTTCCAGACAGAGCAGAACTAGTAGTGCAAAGGGCAGAGCTGGGAATGTGCACATTGTGTTTTTCGAGTGTCGAACAGACCATTAGGCTGGGAGAATGCTGGGTGCTGATAGGGGAAAGGAATGCCACCACCTCCCTTGGTCGCTCCTGTTCCAAGATTAGCTAAAAGTTCCAGAATATTCCTTTTGTATTAGTTCCTTTTGGTTGCTGTCTGAGCTTGGCTGAGCGCAAGGGATTGGTTATTCGTCTTCCTCTGGAAATTGTTTCTCCTCACCTCAGAGCCGTGAAGTTGTATTTAGTCTCTACCTTTTGCTTTGCTGCTTAGCCTTCTTTTGATGCTGAAAATCTAACTGACTCTGATTCCTCTGCCACTGAAATGCAGCAGCACTAATGTGAGTTTTGGAAAGGGCCTCTTCGTTCCCAGCAATAGGTCTCACCCCTTTGCTCTGCCTTTTATTTTATTTTTTTTAGAGAGAGAGAAACATTGATCAGTTGCCTCCCATATGCACCCTGACCGGGGATCAAACCCGCAACCTAGGTATATGCCCTGACTGGGGATCAAACCTGCAACCTTTTGGTGTATAGGACAACACTCCAACCAACTGAGCCATTTAGCCAGGGCCCCTTTGCTCTGCCTTTTCTCTGTTCCTCTTGCTTTTTGCTCCAGAGTCAGGGCCATATGGCCGCTTGTGTTTATATAGTTCCCTAGAGAACATCGTGCCCCCCCTTACTGGTTCAGTGAGCAAGTTATCTGTGCAGCCACTTATCTCAAGTGCTTTGTTGTCACTTTGGTACACCGCCATCTGGGCAGTTCTTGGTATCCAGGGAGCTGAGGGGCCTTCTCTGGTATCAGGAGGAGGAATTGCAAGTCAGAGAAGTTACTCTAGCACTGGGGTCTTGGGTACAGAATTCTCATATTGTGTTGTGAAAGAGTTTAATATTGAAAATAATCTCCCATGCTGTTCAACATGAGTGGGTCTTGACTGCCACCCTGTGGAATTAGGCTTAGAGAAATGGGCGCAGGGGAGAACCTCAGTGCAAACTTTCCCCAGAGGTCCTTTGCCCAAAATCTTGACAGATGACCTCTGCCTTTTCTACTTCTCTCTAGGGGTGGGAATAGGAGGTGGGAAATAGGGTGATTGAAGAACAAGAACCTAGTTAGTTATGAGATAAGGCAATTTATACCACCAGAAGTCTTCTAAAATTGTTCCTTTCTGGGGAATTGGGGGAGGAGGTGGTAGTAGCCAATACAGGGAAGATGATTCTAGGCTCCCCGAGATTCTCTTTTCCTAAAATTAATTACTTGATAACTGTTCCTTGTTATGTTTTGCTCCTCTGAACTGTCCCACTTTTCTAAAAACTTTTCCATCTAGCAAATCATCTTCCCTGATTGAAGAAGCCAGAATGTTTGGATTTTCACCTTTCTATAACTCAGTAGTTCTTACCCAGGAGTGATTTTTGCTCCCCAGGGAATATTTGGCAAGTTGAGACATTTTTTATTGTCATGACTGGGGGTGCTACAGGCCTCTAGTGGGTGGACACCAGGGATGTTGCCAAACATCCTGCAAGGCACAGGACAGCCCCCTCAACAAAGAATTAGCCAGTGTAAAATGCCAGTAGTGCTGAAGTTAAGAAACTCTGCTGTAACTAGTGCGTCTCATTTGTTCTCCCTTACCCCTTCGTCCCTCAGAAGCAGGCTGAGAGAGAAGTTCAAAAGCAAACTAGTAAGAGAATTCTTGTGCCCTAACTTGAACCATAGACTTTATGGTCTCATTCCACCTGGCTGGGTACTCATACCTATAATGAAATCATAACTCTTAAAGTACCTACCTCTTCAGGTTGTTTTGCGGATTAAATGATTAGTTCGTACACATAAAGCTATTAGAACAGTGGACGGCACACTCTAAATGTTTCAGAACTAAACCAAATCCCAGTCTCTGGTATTGTGGGCACTGTAGGTTTTAATGTATAGTATTTTAAACTCTGATAGCTAGGGAGATGCAAGGGAACAAAGTTAATAATAACCCTCCCTCCTCAGTTCTTATCAGCAGCTGGACTTTTCAGAGGTTAAAAATAAAAGTTGCAGCAACTGTGCTCACTTTAAGCTAAACCTTCTGGGAACATGTTTTTTTCTCGGGTTGAGAGTGTTGGTCATATCTGGTTATCATGGAGGCTCCTTGGGGGAAGGAGAGGGAAAGTTTTTACGGACAACTAGATAATGGACTCGATCTTTTTTTAAAATATGTTTTTATGGATTTTAGAGAGAGGAAAGGAGAGGATAGAGAGATAGAAGCATCGATGATCAATGAGAGAGAAACATTGATCGGCTGCCTCCTGAACACCCCCTACTGGGGATCAAGCCCACAACCAGGTCGGTCATGTGCCCTGACCAGGAATCAAACCAGGGACCTCTTGGAGCATGGGTTGACGCTCAATCACTGAGCCACACCGGCCAGGCTAGATCTTATTTTTTGAAGTGTAAGTATTCTTTTTCCTCTTTTGAAAATGGGAAAAAAATAAACCATGGCTTGAATACATCAGCTTACCTCCGACTTGAATACATCAACTTACCTTAACAGCAGTAAATAATTCTCATTTTTAAATGATTAACATTCAAGGAGACAGTGTAGCAGAGAGGAAAGAGCACTTTCCCACTAACTGGATCTGTGTGGGATGCTCAGAGCTTTGCCAAAACACAGGTGCCCCCTCAGCTGACACCTTCGTCCATGAGACGAGGACCCATGGGTGAACCTGCCTACCTCCTCAGTAAGAGTCAGTGAGAGGATGTGTGTGGAGCCCTGCACAGGCACGAGTGAGGCAAACAAATGCGGAGATGCTTCTGCTAGTCTCCCATTCTCCTTCCAGGAGTCCCAACCACTGCATGTTGTTCTGGGAAATGAAGCCTGTGACTTGGACTCCATGGTGTCTGCTCTCGTCTTGGCTTTTTACCTGGCAAAGGTGAGTACTTAGGAACAGAATCCCTTAGAATGAAAAGATTTGGATTCAAGATTCAGCTCCGCTGCTTAACACCATCTAGTCTTGGGTAAGTTAAATCCCTTACCTTTTCCAAGTCTCATGTCACCATCTATAAGGCCTGAAATAATTTACAGTGTTGCTGTGAGGATCAAATGAGTAACTGTATTTTGAAGAATGTGTAAACCCGGAGCATTTGAGATCTTGCTTCCTGGCAGTTGCCGTCAGTTTGGCTCAAATAAACTCATTTAAAAAAAAGAATGTAAACTCTAAAGCAGTATTCGAACACTTTATTATTGAGTTCCTTATGGGTGTCCATGATCTCGTGTGTGTTCCTAATGTGCACGTCAGCTCTTGACAACTGATAATTCCTTTTCCGCAGCATCTAAAACTAGGTCTTTTCCATGAGTTATCTTGTTGACCTTCATGTTGTTGCTAAGAACGAGAGGGGACAAGAGTTGTCTCTTTATTTTTATCAACTGCGTAATTGTGGCTTTGAGAAGGGCAGTAACTCACCCAAGGTCATGTTTCTTGGTCCCAAATGTCTTATTTTTCCTGTCCCAAAACATTGCCATACCTTTTTTTCTTTTCTTTTTAAAAATACGTTTTTGTTGATTTCAGAGAGAGGGAGAGAGAAATAGAAATATCAACGATGAGTCATTGATTAGCTGCCTCCTGCATGGCCCCTACTGGAGATTGAGCGTACAGCCTGGGCATGTGCCCTGACCGGGAATCAAACTGTGATCTCCTGGTTCATGGGTCACCACTCAACCACTGAGCCACACTGTCTGGGCAACCATACCTTTTTTTCATTTTCCTCTCCAGACAACTGAAGCTGAGGATGTCTTTGTGCCAGTTTTAAATATAAAACGTTCTGAGCTACCTCTACGGGGTGACAATGTCTTCCTCCTTCAGAAGATGCACATTCCAGAGTCCCTCTTGATTTTCCGGGATGAGATTGACCTCCACGCGTTGCACCAGGCTGGCCAGCTCACCCTGATCCTTGTTGACCATCATGTCTTACCCAGGTAAGTGGAAGGAAGTTAAGCTGATACTTACCATGTGCCGTGTTGGACTCGGATGAGTAAGATATAAAGAGAGAAAGAATTTTTACTCTCGGGAATCTCATGGGCTAATCGTAATTGATGGATCATATAAGATGTAGAAAATATTGTCACTTCTCCACTTTTGCAAGTAGAAACTTGGAGAGTTCAAACTAAAGGTAACTCAGAAATCATTTAGATCTGCCTTTGGTATCATTATTTTTTTAAGATTTTGTGGCAGATGTATTATAATAGAAACTTTTGAATAATGATTGCAACTCTTTAAGTTTTAAAAAGTTAGCAAAATTATTTCCTACATAAGACAATATCTCATTAGTGTCTCTTTAACAAAGGTACACACCTCTAATAATTCCATCCCTAATATAGGACTGGAAAAAACTGTCAACAAAGCAACATAAATAAGTCTCTCTGGCTCCTGCTAGTATTAAAATGTATGTTTTCCCTTGAGTACACTGGTTATAGCAGGACATTGACAGAGGGTAACCTAAGGGCATTGATCCAGCTGTCCACTTACTCATTAATAAACTGTGTAGAGGATGAAGGTGAGACGAGTCCCTGCTTTCAAGAAACCTTCAGTCAGGAAGCGGGAACTATGCTAACAGATCATTGTAATGGATTTAGAGGTAGGTGATGACCATCACTCCAGGGGACAGTAGGTGCACAAAGGATGGAGTGGTTAAATTTACTAGAGGGGAGTAGAGGATGTCAGGAAAGGTTTCCTAACAGAGTTGGCCCTTGATCTCAGTCTCGAAAGAGAACTAGGTGTTTGCTCGGGGAATGGGGAGGTAAGGTAGTTAGGAAAATCATCCAGGCAGAGAGAGTGATTAATATAAGCAAAGGCAGGCAGGCATGAAATAGCATGGTGAGTTGGGGGAATTGGAATTTGTTTTGCATGGCTGTATCATAAAATATGAGTGAAAAGTAAGACATGGAAAAAGATGAGACTAGAGAGGTAGGCAGGGGCCAGATCATGGAGACCTTGTAGGCCCTGCCAGAGAGATTAGACTTTATTTTAGGGCAGTGGGGACCTATTATAATTATATTTATTCCAGGTCCTAACAGAATCAAATTTGCATTTTTCAAATGATCATTCAGGTAGCATTGTGGAGGATGGCTTAGGAAGGCCCAAGACTGGAAGCAGGTGTTTGGTTAAGAAACTATTGGAATAGTCCAGGTGAGATACTGAGGGCCTAGAATAGCAGTAGCAGAGGGTTTGAAAAAGAGGAAATAAATACAAATTGAAGTAGAAGACATGGGATCTGGTGACCTGCATGGAATTTGGGTATTAAAGGAATTGAGGGACCAGGAAAGATTTAGATGTTGGGTGTCAAGGGTGTCGATTGGAAAGGCAACCTTAAAGGACATCAAATATATGGATAAGGTATTGGTAGCAGATACTTTGCCAAATTCACGTATACACTATTTAAAGATGACTTTAGTTATAACATTAAAGAAGAGAATTGAAAGGAGTGAGGCAGAGGTACAAGTGTTTACCTAAGATGTCTGCATTTTCCTTCACGAGTGAGGTGGAGATTGGTTAGAAGTAGCCGGAGTGCTCCTACTTACCTTTGTTTCTCTTTTCCCCCCTCGACAGAAGTGACGCAGCCCTAGAGGAGGCAGTGGTAGAGGTGCTAGACCATCGGCCAATCGAGCAGAAACGCTGCCCCCCCTGCCATGTTTCAGTTGAGCTGGTGGGGTCCTGCACTACCCTGGTGACCGAGAGAATCCTGCAGGGGGCACCAGAGATTTTGGACAGGCAAACTGCAGCCCTTTTGCATGGTGAGGGTGGTTTGGTTGGGGCCTGACTCCTTAGTACCTCTATTCCTATCCCAGAGAAGGGACAGTGGAAAAGTCTAGATTCTTCCAGCTTGGTCATACCCTCTCAGAGCCACTCAGTCCATACTGAAAGCTGGGATTCTTTCAGGGGTAATTAGGCATTAAAAGGCTGTGGATACTTTGTTGGAGAACGCAGAAAGGAAGCAGGGGACAACAGACCTAGAAGCTGCCTCAGCAGCACTGTGTGATGAAAAGAGAGTAGCCAAAGCAGCAGGAAACAGATTCCAGTACCATTTCTGCCCAGGTAGTAGTTATATGACCTTGAGCAAGTCTCTTATCCTTTCTTATTCTCATTTTCTCCATTTGTGGGAAAGAGAGAGAGAGAAAGAGTTGGACTAGACGGTCTCAACTTATAAGATTCTTTACTGGGAATTTGGCCCATGGAAGAGAGGTCATCTTTCTCTAACTAGGTTTCAAAATCTCCAAAGATTGAGATGCTCAGGCTTCCTTTCTACCTGTTCCCCATTTCCCTGCCTCCATTTTAGTTTGGATTTGGGAGGCCTTAGGACATTGTCCCAGTTTCTTGTTTTGTTTTCAGTGAGTTTGCATTCGATCTCCCCTGTATTATGTCCATCTGGTTGGAGGGTTATGTGTGTTTCAGTGGTCAAGAGTGGACGTCCACAAGATTTGAGTTCTGCCATCTTCCTTTTCCACAGGAACAATCATCCTGGACTGTGTCAACATGGACCTTAAAATTGGAAAAGCAACCCTGAAGGACAAGAAATATGTGGAGAAACTGGAGGCCCTCTTCCCAGATCTGCCCAAGAGAGATGACATCTTTGATTCTCTGCGAAGGGCAAAGTTTGATGTGTCAGGTATGAAGTGTTAAACCGACTTCTCTCCCTCCCACGTAAGAAAACACCATCAAAACAGTTTCAGAGCATGGGTAATGGTTTAAGCTTTGGAGAGAAACGGGGTAGTGTGTGAGTCCAATCAGGAACTAATCAATCATGTACTGGATTGCTCTATCCGGGCTATTGGGGAAGATGAGGAGGAATATACTAAGAGTCTCAGAGGTTTCCAGTCTAATCAGAGAATATAGACATATAAATAAAATACGCTGAGGGAGTACTAAATTATCAGAGTGCGATCTGGATAATTGGTCAGGGAAACAGGGTGACTATTCCAAGGACAAAGGAAGAAAACAAAAATCTTCTATAATTTTCCACCCAGCTACCACCTGATAAAAAATAAAGTGCCACATGTACTTTTAGAAAATTAAAACAACACAGAAAGGGGGAAAAAATCAAAAGTAAAAACCTGTCTTCCTTTTACTTTTTTTCCCCCCAAAGTCCCTCTCTCTAAAGCCCCTTCTCTCCAAAGTACCTCACTCTAAGGGTAACTACTGTGACCCGGTAATTTAAAGTAATTTTTATTATATTATTAAATTTCAGTTATCTGCCCTAGTTATTGCCCCAGGGAGAAGCTGTGTTTTTCCTCTTCCTTGACTCATCTTGGTGTCTTTACCTTCCTGGGCTCCTCTTTTTTGACCCCTAATCTCACATCTACTTTCTAGGACTGACCACCGAGCAGATGCTGAGAAAGGACCAGAAGACCATCTTCAGACAAGGCATCAAGGTGGCCATTAGTGCAATATATATGGATTTGGAGGTAAGAGCAAGATGTAGGTGTGGGTGGGAAGAGAAAACCTTCAGTTATGTAGGTAACCTTGCCCCTTACTTCTGGCTTTCCTCCAGAGTATATCTTGTACCTGTCTGTGTTTCACCAGCTCTGTCGTAACTCCCACAGTTCATTGTCTCTCACTGCACGACTCTCATAGCCCGCACAGCTTCCCAGCCTCCACTTTTGCACCGTTACAAACCATTCTCCCAACAGTAGCCAGAGTGATGATGTTAATACGTAACTTAGATCATATCATCCCCTTCCTCTACTGCCTTTTCAATGCACTTTTTTTTTTTTTTTAAATATATCTTTATTGATTTCAGAGAGAGGAAAGGAGATGGAGAGAAACAGAAACATCAATGATGAGTCATTGATCGAGCCCACAACCTGGGCATGTGCCCTGACCGGGAATCAAACCCTGATCGCCTGGATCCCAGGTCGACACTCAACCGCTGAGCCACGCCCGGCCGGGCTCAATGCACTTTTAATAAAATGTGAAGACCTTACTGTGGTTTATAGGGCCCACCTTGGCCTGGCCCTGGTCTTTCCTTCTGATCTCACTCACTCCAGCCCCGCTCCTATTCTCACAACACTGCAGCCATACTGGTTTTCTTTCTGTTCCTTGGACCCATTAAGTTCATTCCCAACTCAGGGCCTTTGTACTTGCTTTTCCCTCTGCATAGCTGGCTCCTTCCTATTGTGCAGGTCTTAGCTCAGATGTCTCCTCTTTTTAAGAGATTTTTCCTGACCATCCTAACTGAAATAATATCCTCCCTGCTTAAAAATCTCTAAAAGTTATCTTACTTTGTTTTCCTCCTAGCACTCAACACACTGAAATAATCATATTTCATGGTTTCCTTATTTATTGTCTATATTTCTCTGCTCATTTATCAGCTCTGCCAGAGGGAGGACCCTGTTTCTTTTGTTTCTGCTATATCTGCAGCACCTTTGACAGTCCCTGTCACAAAGTGGATGCTCAGTAAATGAACATAACTTTGATAATGGTATTTTAATACCTGGTTCCATATTATATTGGTTTAAATCATTTGACAGCCCGATCTTAACACATACTCTCATAGTCTGCATAGCTTTCTACTAAATGCTATGTAAAAATCCTAAATAATTAAATAAAACAGAATAGCATGACCTCTTATGACTCATAACCTAGTTTGGGAAACAAACATAAGAACATAAAAGGCTAAGCTACCAAGTACCATAATCACAGTACAAATCAGGCGTTAGAAATGCCAAGGATAGAGAGGAGCCCTGATCGGGAACATTGGTGTCGTCCATTGGAGGAAAGGCTGTGTGAGGTTTTGGAGAAGGGTAGAGATTGTCAAAGAAGGAAGAGTCAAGGATGCAGTTGTCACATGTCTGTTCTTATTTGTATGCCCTGTTCTCTTTTAGAATAAAAATACCCACAAGGCAAAGACCTTGCTTGTTTGATTGCAAGAGCAGGGGAGCCTTGTACTTGCCAGGCATGTTACACACGTTATTTTTTTTTAATACATCTTTATTGATTCAGAGAGAAGAAGGGAGAGGGAGAGAGAGAGACAGAAACATCAATGATGAGAGAGTCGTCATTGATCGACTGCCTACGGGAACATAGATAGCACAGAGTAAATACTAGGTACCGTTCTGATGGAGTACAAGGCCCAGGTTAACATTCGAAGAAACGCTTTATAAGCACTTTTTGTTGGTGGTGACAAGGGGGTTCCAGCTGTATCCCTCATCCCTGCCCATTTCTTCTCTTTCAGGCCTTCCTGCAGAGGTCTGGCCTCATTGCAGACCTCCATGCTTTCTGCCAGGCCCACAGCTATGATGCCTTGGTTGCCATGATCATCTTCTTCAACACTCACAATGAGCCAGTGCGGCAATTGGCTATTTTCTGTCCCCATGCAGCACTCCGAATGACAGTGAGTCTCTGTCTCTTCTCTAGCCTGAGGGCTCTCCAGAGCTCCACCTGTACACGCTGCCCTGTGCTGTAAAGACCTCTCTTTGGTTCTTCCATTTACGTAGAGGTCCCTTGACCTATTTCCAGAATCTCCCCTCCCGCTTTTTTCCATTCTGTGTCTGCGTGAATCCTTAGTCATCCTGTTGTTGAGAAGGGGAGATTCCAAAGAGAATTACAGGTGGAGTTCCTACTTAGAAGGAACTTGAAATCAGGTTAAAAGTAAATGTGATGAATCTGGAGTTAGAACTTGATTTTTAGCTTAATCGTTAACTGTTCAACCCTGAAAATCAATTCCTTTCTCTCTACCCTGTTCCCTTGAAAAGCGGAAACATAAGAGAAACCTTTTCTACTACTTACCCGTGCAGGGAGTAATTACTCTGTGTAGCGCTGACTGTGTAGAGAAGTGACCTGAGAACAGGTTTGTTTTCTTGCCTGGTTTTCCGTTTGGCTGCCTTTCCTACCTCCTCCCCTTTCTTTCCCTCTGTTGGTTACTCATTAGCCCAGGGAAGAATTCGAAAGTGGACTTAAGGCAGTCCAGGGCCTCTTCGGGTTGCTTGGGCTGTATGACAACTGCTGAAGATTGGTTTGAACAGCCAGGTAATCCTTTGAGCCGGTAAAAGCTACGTCCGCCCTTTCCCACACCTCTCTGCCTTTGTCTTCTCCTCTAGGAAGCAAATGTAAATTCATTTAGTGGAGGGTAGTTGGCATTGTGGAAAGACTACAGTTTTGAAAGGTAGATAGACATGCTTTTCTGTCCCAGGTTTGCCACTTACTTTCTCTTTGAGCTAAAGCAAATCAGTTGACTTCTGAGCTTGTAAGTAGCATAATATTACCAATAATTAGTCTGATGTGATCATTAAACATAACATCATATGTAAAATACATTGCTGGGCACAAGGTAAACACTCGGTAAAAGGTGGCTCCTACTAATCATGCTAGAAAGGAAAAGGTACTTTGGCCAATAGAAGTGCCTCTCCCCGCCTTCCTATATCTCCCCACCTTCTCCCAACCACAGCCCCTCTGTGCCTTTCTCCTGGAGCTGTGATGACACTATAGCATAGGCTGCCTTGTGCTGGGAAATGAGAGTCCTCTTTTCACAATCAGCCCTACCATTTCCTCTCTTCTTCCTGTTTTAGGAATAGTATAATACAGTGATTCAGAACACCAGCTTTGGTGACAGGCCTAGGTTCAAGTGTTAGCTTTGCTTCATTCAAACTATAAATTTAAGAAGTTACTTTATCTGTCTAAGCCTCAGTTTCCCTACCTCTTAATGAGGATAATAGTAATACCAATCCTATAAAGCAGTATTTGTAAATGACCAGACTTGGCACCATGCCTGGCATACTTCCCACCCCTACCTTGACCTGTTCATTCTTTCTGCCTCTATCCTTCCCCTGACCTCAGTGTAGATATGTGTCCCTTCCCAGCTAAGGACAGAGTTTGAGTTTTTGAGCACAGGAAAACACTTGGAGACAACACTAGGTTAGAAGCTGGCGGTCCTGGGTTCTGATTCAGACTCTACCATCTTCTACATGATTTTTCTCAAGATGCTTAATCTCTCAGGGATTCAGTTTACTTATTAATAAAATGAAATATATGATCTTAAATGTTTCTTCTGTTTCTAAAATACTATGTATATTAGCTGATGTGCCTTTTGTTGCAAACAATAGAGCTGAACTCTGGGTAACTTAAAAAAAAAAGTCTTCTCTGTAAGAGAATCCTCCAGCTTAGAAGCCTCAGCAATCTGCCCTGGCAGTTTGCTTCACCACCTTATATGCCATTTCCCTATCTCGTCGCCCCTTTAGATCTGTGGAGTCCTGGAACAATCCCAGTCTCCGTCTCTGAAGCTGACTGCCGCCCCAACCACCCACCCTAACCTCCAAGCCTATCTCCAAGGCAACACCCAGGTCTGTCGAAAGAAATTTCTGCCTCTGCTCCAGGAAGCCCTGTCAGCATATTTTGACTCCATGACAATCCCTTCAGGGCAGCCTGAGACAGTGGATGTGTCCAGGGAGCAGGTAGACAAGGAATCGGACAGGGCAGTGACCTCCTCCCTGATTCCTGGACTGAGCCAAGATGAGGAGGAGCCTCCGCTGCCCCCCACGCCCATGAACAGCTTGGTGGATGAGTGCCCTCTGGATCAGGGGCTGCCTAAACTCTCGGCCGAGGCCATCTTTGAGAAGTGCAGCCAAATCTCACTGTCACAATCTACCACTGCCTTCCTGTCCAAGAAGTGACTATTGGGAGAGGAGGGGACAGTGAGAGAAGTTGCTTGAACCACCTCGAATGCATGTTTTGAGAGGCTTCGGCTCTTCTGTCCCCAGTGCTCCAGGACCTGGTGCACTTGGACTGTTCCCGTGAGTCTGGAAGGAGGAAGAAGTAAGAGAAGGCAGCTGCTCTAGGAATGGCTGTCCGCCTTTCCCCCCGATCTCTGCCAATCCAATTCTGTTATTTAATTCTTTAGATCTGCACTGACTCCCCAGGGGTACAATGCAACTCCTATGCTGTTCCAGCAGAATAGCACAAAAAGAATGTACCCCCAAAGTGCCCTCAGCAAGGCCCTTTAACAGAACCAGTATCTCTCATGGAACCAAACAGGCATTGTCTCCATGTGCTCATTTGTTCTCTCATTGATTCGGATATCTGTTGAATGCCTACTCTAAGCTAGATAGAAAATAGAGTGCACTTTGGAAACTCCTATTTCAGTTTTCAGCCTTTAGCAGATTTCCAGCTTCATGACTCCTCTTTCTTCCCCCAGTTAGGTAAAAGGTGTCTGATGCTGAAATGGCTAATTTTTTTTCCTAAGCTTATGGTGACTTTTTAAAGATTGTTTGGGAGCAGATAGAGGCCATTATCTTCTGCCCTAATCAGGTAACCTGGCCCTCAGTTTCTTTGGATCCCTTGTCCCAAAGCCACAGGGAGCCTGAAGAACCCCAAATCCCCGAGTGTTCAAGAGACACTCAGGAAGGCCTTACGACCTCATGGGCACTCTGCCCAAAAGACAGCAGAACTGCAATGAGAACCTCAGCTCTGTCCCTGCATTAGTGGGTCCGTCAATTTCTTGTCCATGTCATTCTCTTCTGGCTCATATTAAAAGGAAACATGGAGTTCTAATATGGACTGCCACGGACTGTGTCTTTTGGCGAGACACTTCATCTTTAAGTCTCATTTTCCCCACCTGTAAAGCTAAGGATCTAGACTAGAAGTTCTGTTTTCCCTGGGAGTGCTCAGGGTCACTGGATTGTCTGTATTTACACGTGATTGTATGAAGGGACTCAGCCTCATGTAGCATGTACAGGGGTATAATTCATACCATAGTGACCCAGAAAAGAGCTCCCTCCCGCTGACTTGTTCTGCATGTATAGTCTCCCTTGTTTCTTCAGACCAACCTGTTCCCCCTTTTCCTAACCCACAGCTCTAGTCCATGTAAGTTGCCAAGTTTCACTGAATAGTGGGGTATGTGATGGTTTTGGCATGACGTCTTCAGTGTGAGGGGGACAGTGTGACTTCACTTTGAGGGGTGATGTGTGTAGCCGTTGGAAGACAAAAATAGTGGTGTGATTACTGAACCAAAGGAATTTATGTTTTGTAACTCGGGTACTTTATTTTGCATTTTGTTAAAGTATTAAATAATGTTTTCCTGGTTGGGGTCTTATTGTCTCTTTTTACAACTATCAGGCCTTTCCATCAGATAATTGCTTCAGCCTCATGATTTTCTCCCTTCTTCCTGTTGTGCTTACTATCTTCTTTCTGTTGACTCTTTGGGATTAAGGAGCAGTGTTTAGCTCCCCTCATCCTCAGCCTTTCCTTTCATTTGTTTCTTCCAGAACCATCCTTATTACGTACTTCTGTGTCACTGATTTTGCTTATACTCAAAAAGTAGGGCCAAAATAGTCCTAAAACCAAAATGGTTTTTACCATTCCTTTTTTTTTTTTTTTTTTTTTTAAGAGCAGCTTCCAGATTATAAGGAGTCTGGAGAAAAGAGCAAATTGCCTTCCTAGAGCCCTTCAAGATTAGCCATTTTGGAAAATGTACTCTCCACCTTGGCTGATGTGGCTCAGTTGGTTGGCGTGTCCTCCCGTACACCAACAGGTGGTGGGTTCGATCCCCGGTCGGGGCACATACAGGAGGCAACCAATCAATGTTTCTCTCTCTCTCCCCTTCTTCTCTCTAAAAAAAAAAAAAACAAAAAAAAAAAAAGTACTCTCCTCCCCAAAGCCCGCCCCCACATAGGCATAGACATGGTTTTTCTTTTGGGCAAACCTGCTCATTGAGAAGGGAGGTGGCAAAACCTGTTTGAGGGTGAGGTTACCTCCCTTCCACACCTTGCTTCTTAGAGGCAAGACAACAACAGCTGAGGCAGAGAAAGGGTAGAGAATTGTTGGGGAGCTGGGGCAACCAACTCCCCGAAAACTCCAGGTGTTAAGGAAGGGGACAGATTTGTGAAGATGGGAACCATACAAGAGGCAGAAGAAAAGACATTGGCTCTTGGGTAAGTAAGATCTTAGCTAACTTGGTTAGAAACAAAAAGTGAATAGTCTTGGGACTTTCCCACCATCCAGCTCTTACCAGGTCTAATCTCAGGTTCCTAGAGGCGATAAGGCTGTAAGAGAATTAATTTACAGACAAGGGATGGGGGTAGCTGTCTGTATGGGAAGTAGGGGACAGGGAGTCCAGAGTAATTTCCTACTGTGTTTTTTTAAAAGAAAGTTTCTATATTTTGTGTCTGATAAGTCTGCCCCTATTCCCTGTTTTCTAACCCCCACCCTCGAGAATGGCTATTAGGAAAGCTGACCCAGAACTAAGTTTAGGTCTAGGTTCTCCCCAGCAATCTCTCTTCCCCCTTACCTCCTTCCCCACCCCTCCACCTAGACTGTGGTTTCCCCTGACCACTCCCCAGTATGGTGGAGGAAAGGCAGGCCTGCCTAGGTGCCATCTTCCTAAACTTTGCCCAGTGACTCCTGGGCAGGTCTGTCAGCTTCCAGCCAATTGTAATGTGGAATACTTCCCACCCCTACTGTGTAGGTGGAGCAACTGTCACAGAGGTAAGTAAGATTAACTTTACATACTATCCTTCCTCTGCTCCTAAACCCAACAGTTGGGGTGATCTGTTTTGAGCAAGTGGTGAAGATGATAGAAACATCTGTCAACAAGATGAGTTCTTTTTAAGGCCTGTTCTCTGCTCTGCACCTTAATTACTATTCTTCATGCCAGTGTCTCCTACCTACAATTCAGTTCCCTCAAGACGTCTAGTTTGTCTCACGATAATCTTTTCTTCCCGGGGATGGGGGACTATCTTAGGGTCGGGGAGAACGCAGAAGAAGCAGGACTAGGAGCATCCCTGAGACTTGGGGAACTGGAGCTGAAGGAGGAATGGCAGGATGAAGAATTCCCTAGGTGAGGAGGTGAGAGGGAGGTTGGGAGACGGAAGTGATGGTCACAAGTGGAGGGCAGGGGTGGTAAATAGAACTTGAAGTGGGAAAAAGAAAGCAGAGGTAATAAAATCATGGCAGGGAGAGAGAATGGGTAGTTGGATACCTGGCTTGGTGCCTTTAGCCTATACTTTCCCCCCTTTTAATCTTTTTTCCTTCCAGATTGCTTCCTGAAGAGGCTGACTCTTCTGAAGATCCTGATGATCCCCAAAGAGACTCACAGGCAGGTAGGTAAATTAGAACTGAGGCCTCAAATTCTTGATTCTAATCCAGTGGAGGTTCATGCTGCCTTTATCCCTTTGCAGCTTCCCTTGTCCCAAATGTCCCCTGTGTTAGTCCTTCTTTAGATTTCACCCCATATTATCACTTCCATATACAGGAATTCTAACCAACACATCTTTCTATTTTTTGTACCCCTCCCCCCGCCCCAGGTACCCCCAGCACTTTAGCCTTGTGTGGCCGGCGCCACATGCGTAAACGTCTTTCTGCCCCAGAGTTGCGACTGAATTTGACGAAGGGGCCTGGAGATAATGGCTCTTCTCCCACCCTCTCTGTACCTTCCTCTCCTGATGGCAGTTCTGACCTGGAAATAGACGAATTGGAGACACCTTCAGACTCTGAGAAGCTGGACAGTGGACATGAATTTGAATGGGAAGGTAGGAAAAAAACCTGAGGAACGAGCAGGTAGAAGTAGAGGCCCGTGTTAAAGCTCAGGATGGATTTAATGGGACTGAAGTTAGAACTCATAAGGTGGGGACTGAGAGGTAAGGTCAGCAAAATTAATTCTTCAGAATGAAAAAGTAGAGCCTAGAAATCCAACGTGAGGGTAGTCAGTAGAGGAGGGTTGGGGTCCTTTGTTTATCAAGGAAAGCTATTGAACGACTGTTGCATGCCACCACTGAGCTAGAAACGGAGTTATAAAGATCAATGAGATAATTCCTACCCTAGAGAATCCTCCATTTAGTAAGAAATAAATATATATACAAATAAGTGTAGGCAAAGGTTCTGCTCTACATGTGTACAGGGTAAGCGTAGACAGGGGGAAGGAGAAGGTCAGTTCTGTCTAAGACTTCACAGAGGAGGTGACTGTGCAATTGTTTATCGGGTACTTGGAGAGGTATTCTAGCTGGAGGAAGCAACTTGGACTAGAGCATGGCGTGTTGGGGAACTCAAGGATTAAGCATGACTACTTAGATATTAAGGAAAACTGTTTCTGCTCTACTCACAACACTTCTGACAACAGCTGTGTGGGTTTTCCCCACATCAACCAATTCTCCAACTCTCCAGACACCAACTAGGTAGCTAAGATTCAGTTATGACACTAACTGCCTGGACTTAGCGCAGAACCCAGAGTTTAAGAGCTCAGTCCCCCAAGACCGACGCCCCTCCCCCCACTTTGGACACCAGTCACATGTGCAGGTTGTCACCTGCGCTTCAGACCAACTGGCTACCCACTGCCCCCTTCTCAGGTTCCATAATTTATTAGAATGGTTCACTAGATCTCAGGAAAACAAGATGAATTACATCTACAAATCTGTAGATGAATTACAGATTTATTATAAGAGGATACAACTCAGGAACAGCCAGAAGGAAGAGGACAAGGTATGTGGGAAGGGGTGTGGAGCTCCCATGCCCTCTCCAGGCACAGCACCCTCCTAGCGCCTCCATGTGTTAACTAACCCAGAAGGTCTTCATACCCCTTTGGTTAGGGTTTCTATGGAGGCTCCATTATGTGGGCATGATTGATTAAATGGCTGTTAGTGATGAACACAACCTCTAGTCTCTCTCCCCTCCCCAGAGTTCCAACCTTCTAATCACATGGATGGTTCCCCTGGCAACCAGCCACTCATCCTTAGGGGCTTTCCAAAGTCACCTCAGTAATATCAGCCCATGGTTTGAAAGGGGCTTGTTATGAATAACAAAAGATACTCCTTTCACCTTTTTCATTAGAAGCTGTCCCCGGAGCCAGGGCCAAAATAACAACAAAATATTAGTATATCATAATATCAGTCAGATATGAAGGGCTCAGAGGTAGAGCGAGAATGACAAAAGATAGTGCTGTGTTGAACAGGCAAGGTCAAATTATGGAGATCCTCGCTGCCATGCTAATGAGTTTAGATTTTATCTTACAGGCAATAGGGAGTCATTGAATGCTTTTAATCAAGGGAATGACATGATCAGATTTCCTTGCTCTGAAAATATTGGAAATAACCTAAAGATCCTTCAGTAGGGTATTAATGCTATTATGGTGCATCCATACAACGGAATACTAAGTACTAGGCAACTATTTTTTAAGATGAGGCAGCTCTTTCTATTGCGATGAAAAGATCTTGCAGAATTAGTGGGCATATTATATTGCCATTTCAGTAAAGACGGTAGGGGAGAACAGAAAGCTTGCTCTAGTGGTGGTATGGAGGGTGGAATGGAGGAAAACAGAATAAAGGCAGGGAGGCCACTTAGGAGGCTCATACTAAGGCCATGTGAGAAATGCTAAGAACCTGAACCAGGACTAATAGTGGAAAGAATGATAAGAGAATGTAATGGAGGTAGATGAAAGAGGATCTGGGGTCCAGTTGGCTTGAGGGCTGATAGAGAAGAGTCTCGGATGATGTACAGTTTTCCCTCTCAGGAAGCTAGATGGATGGGGTCCTCAAGGAAGGAAATATGGGAGAGAGGAGGAAGAGCATGACTTTGAGTTGCACTTTGTGTCTGGTGACTTGGAAATGACAGAGACAAACAAAGTGGAGATGTCCAGTCTAGGCATTTAGGGACATGGGTCTAGAATTGGAGAGAAGCCTGGGTTAAAGAGGCAAATTTTGGAGTCATCACTTTATTGGTGGTAACTGAAGACGGGAATAGGTGAGCTCACTCAAGGAGAAGCATGGAAAGAAAGAAAGAATCCAGAAAAATACTGATACTGGCAAGGGCCATCGACCTACCATAATGCAAGGTTACCTCAAGGTCACTGTCTAGTGAAAAAGTGAGGATGGTGAGTCACAGGAAACAGAAACCAGCAAGGGTTTGGGTGTAGTGAACAAACTAGGGCTAGAATCATGGGGAAAAATTGAGGAATGAGAAGTTGGAGTAATAAACTCCAGGAATCTGGGGATGTTACCAGATACTGAAGGTGTGTATCCTGCCCTGCTGATCCTTCCCCATCCCTCTCTTTTAGATGAGCTGCCCCAGGCGGAGGGTCTGGGGGCGAGCGAGGCAGCTGAAAGGCTGGGCCAGGGTTGTGTGTGGGATGTGGCTGGAGAAGACGGTCATCGCTGGAGGGTGTTCCGAACAGGGCAGCGGGAGCAGCGAGTGGACATGACTGTCATTGAGCCCTATAAGAAAGTCCTGTCTCATGGAGGTAATGGCTAGCATAAGTGGAGGGGTAAGAACTGGGACTTCTGGAGTTAAATGCCTAAGCTGGAAACTCAGTTACTGGGTTCACAGTCCTTCTGTAACTTCCAGAGACCCTCAGAGTCCCTCAACCTAACATGTCTGTCGATGCACATTTGCTGACTGAATGAATTTTCCCTTATCCTGCCCAGGTTACCATGGTGATGGCCTCAATGCTGTCATCCTCTTTGCTTCCTGTTATCTACCCAGAAGCAGCATCCCCAACTATACCTATGTCATGGAACACTTATTTAGGTGAGATGGAAGGCCTGAAGGGCTCCAGGGTGGATGTTAGGGAGGGAAAAGTAGGAAAGAAACCCCTTCTTGATCGGTAGCTGATGGTAGAGTCTATAGTAATTCCATCTCACTCCCCACAACCCCAAACACATGCCTATCCTGACAATTTTGTCCCCCCAGGTATATGGTGGGAACTCTGGAGCTGCTGGTGGCTGAAAATTATCTGCTTGTTCATTTGAGTGGAGGCACAAGCAGGGCCCAGGTTCCACCTCTGAGCTGGATACGCCAGTGTTACCGGACTCTAGATCGGCGGTGAGCCTCAGAACAAGGGGGCCTCTCTTAGCTTTTTCTTTTCCATCTTTCCATTCTTTCTACTGCCATTAAGTTCTTCCCCTTTTTTGTCCCTCTACACCCCTTTCCAAGCCTGTCCTCTCTCTTGGGGTCAGAGAAGTCAAATTTCAAATCTTGCCTTTGCCACTTACCAGTTATGTGACTTTGGATTTTGGAGGTTTTTTGTGTGGGGGCTTTTTTGTTTTGTTTTGTTTGTGTGTTGTTGTTTTTTAAACATATCTTTATTGGTTTCAGAGAGAGGGAGAGAGAGAGAGAAAGAAGCATCGATGATGAGAGAGTCGTTGATCGGTTCCCTCCTGCATGCCCCCTACTGGGGATCGAGCCCGAAACCTGGGCATGTGCCAGCTGGGCTTGTTTTTTTAATCAGCTGTGTGACTTTGGACAAGTCCCTTAACCTTTCTGGGACTCAGTTTCCTTATTTGCAAAATGGCAATGAGAATACCTTTGCTGCTGGGTATTTGTGGAAATCAAGTAAATCAGAGTGGCGTATTGCAATTAAAAGAATGGGAGCGCCCGGCCGGCGTGGCTCGGGTTGAGCATCAACCTAGGATCCAGGAGATCGAGATTCAATTCCCAGTCAGATTCAACATGCCCAGGTTGCAGGCTCAATCGCCAGTAGGGGGCGTGCAGGATGCAGCTGATCAATGACTCTCTCATCATTGATGTTTCTATCTCTCTCCCTCTCCCTTCCTCTCTATGAAATCAAGAAAGATGTATTAAAAAAAGAAAGAAAAAAAATGAGAGTTATGTCCTGGTTGGTGTGCCTCAGGTTAGAGCATTGGCCTGTGCACCAAAGGGTCCCAGGTTTGATTTCTGGTCAAGGGCACGTACCTGGGTTGCAGGTTCGATCCCCAGCCCCAGTCAGGGCATGTGTGGGAGGCAACCAATCAATGTGTCTCCCTCACATTGGTGTTTCTCTCCCTCCCTCCTTCCCTCCCTCTCTCTCTAAAAATCAATGGAAAAAAATTTCCTTGTGTGAGGATCAACAACAACAACAAAAGAATGGCAGTTAGACCCAGTTGCCAAAAAAATCTAGAACTTAGAGAAGTGAAAGAAGTTAAAGTAAAGAATATAGTTCACCTGATCTTCAGGCATGAAGGTGGGAGAAGAAACAGAATGCTCTCCTGTTCTTCAGGCTAAGGAAAAACCTGCGCGCCCTGGTAGTCGTCCATGCTACATGGTATATGAAGGCATTCCTGGCACTGCTTCGGCCCTTCATCAGGTACTAGCTCTGGGGACAAGGACTTCCTTCCTTCCACTTCTTCCCGTTTTTTTGTGGTGGTGGTGTTTTTTTGTACAAAATATTACAGATGTCCTTTTTTCTCTCCAGTGACCCTGCCTCACCCACCCCGTTTTTTTTAATGAGTTTATTTGAGCCAAATTGATAGCATAAGCCTTAGAACAAGGTCTCAAATGCTCCCCCCTTCTTCCCATTTTCAAAATCAAGATTAAGAAGAACTTGCCCCACCCTGGCCCTTTCTAGCCTTTTAACCACTCTCCACATGTTCCATTTCCCTTTGTAAGGGTCTCCAGGAGCCCTCTTCCCAGTATACAGCACATGGTTTATCCTCTCTTTTCAGTTCCAAGTTCACACGAAAGATTCGTTTTCTGAACAGCCTGAGAGAACTGGCCCAACTCATCTCCTTGGATCAGGTCCACATCCCTGAAGCTGTCAGACAGTGAGTCCTGAGCTTAAGGATAAAGGTTTGGGGTGGGATGTGTAAAGCCAGTTTCCATTTTCTTAATGCCTTGGGGGAGATACAGAGGAACTAAAAGCCAGAGGCCCTGCTTTTAGATGTTTCGAGGTACCTGAGAAAATATGCACATACCCAGAGAAGAAATTAAGGACACTACTGTATCCAACAAGAACAAATTGAAACACTGGACATATAAGTTCGGAGGCAACAAGGCATAAAGGAATGATCACAGCACAGACTTTAAAGGAGATTCAGACCTGGGCTAGAAATTAGAAAGGGATGTGTTTGTTGGCAGTAAGTTGGAGAGACTATCCGTTTGGGGAGGGGTGCTAGGGATAAAGGATCCTCAATAATGAGCAACTCAAGCACCCAGTCTTCCAATTCACCTGGCTTCTCTCCCCAAACTGGTGAGTAAAACCCAGGCCCTGCCCTGGCTGGGTGGCTCCGTTGGTTGGAACGTCATCCTGTGTGGATTCAGTTCCTCATCAGGGCACATTGCAGGTTTAATCCCTAGTCAGAGCATGTGTGGGAGGCAGCCGATTCATGTTTCTCTCTCTCCCTCTCTCTCTGAAAAATCAATTAAAAAGATATAGATATAGATATATAGATATAGATATAGATATAGATATATAAACAAACAAAACCCACCCAGGCCCTGCTCCTGTACTACTTGTTCTTCTCTCTCCTAGGCTGGACCACGATCTCCATGGCTCAGAAAGGACCTAGCATTTAGGACTGGAATAAAGGGCCTTAGAACCAAGCAAAGATATCGATCTGCCTACACCTTAACCCCAGAAACACCTAAGCTGTTCTGTAAACCATCTCATCCTCAACCCCAGTACCCCTGGATCTTTACATCTCAATGTGGTGTCATTCCTTCCGTGACCTTGCCTTCAGAGCTGGGGGTTTTGAGGGCTGGAACCTGATCTGGTTGGTGGCTTTCATTTCAGCACGTAGTGGCATTTTGCATGGGAAAGTGCAAAGCTGTGGGTCTTAGTCCTGCTTTAGCTGTAGAGCCCTGGGCAGTAACTACATCTCTGAGTCATTTTCATCATCTTGAAGGAAGGGGCTGAGGTCCTTCCCACCGGGGGTATTCGAGCAATCCTGAAGGCGGGGCGCTGTGGGAAGGGCAGGGCTTTCCTGAGCACAGCCAGCCCGCCTGCTGGGAGCCAGGCGGGAGCCCCCTCCCGCAGCCCCGGAGATCTGCTGTGTGCCCCGCTTTCGTCCCCAGTCCCGCGTGCTGCCTGTGAGCCCGGGAAGGCGCGCTTTCGAAATCTTTCTCTAGTCGATTCAGATGTAGCGGTTAATAAATTGCGAGAGATTTAAGCTGTGAGCCAAGGAAGTGAACTGCTCTTTCCCCAGCACCTTACATCACAGTCCGTCGGTCTCGGAGTTCTCGCTGCAGGGGCTCCCGAGGATTTTCTGCTCAGCCCCTGGGGCTGCGGGCCCGGAGGGCCTGGGGGAGGGGAGGGGCGTGGCGCGCGTCGAGCCCCGCAGCGGGCCTCGGTTCTAACGACCCGGTGGGTGGGTCGGTCGAGAGCGGAAGGGAGAGAAAGTAGGAGCCCGGCCTCCGTCACTGGCCTGCCTCCCAGCCCCACACCGTCCAGCCCCATGGCCCCCGCCGCGGGCGCGCTGCTCTGGGCCCTGCTGCTGAGTCTGGGGACCCGGGCGGCGGCGGGGGCCCAGGGCCTGACCTCAGCCGGGGTGCAGCCAGTCAGTTTCCGCTCCAGGGGCCAGATGACCCGCAACTACCGGTCCTCCCCCAGGACCGGTTTTCCCCCGAAGAGAAGGGTAATAATGGAGGACGAAGATGACGTCGTGGCCACTGCCGACCGCCTGGCCGGCCCCGCCGTTAACGAGCTCCTGGCCTCCACGGTGTCCTCGGACATCAACAGGTTGCGTTCGTGGGAGCAAGATGAGGATGGGTCTTTGGAGGAGGGGGTTGTGATTAACGCCAATAAGAATAACAGCGATTCAGAGATTGCCAATAGATTTCTCGTTAGTACTACAAAGAAGAGGCTCAGCTCAAGGTTTAAAGCCAATATCCAGGAGCCAGAATACAGGCTGGCCACGAGCCTGCCGCCCCGCACCTGGAAATCTGCCGATCCTGTGGAGCATCCGCTGCTGCCGGACACCACCAGCCTGACCCAGTGGTCAACAGCAGGATCCACGCCCAGGCGCTGGTCACGACACTCAACCACAGCCATGCCACCTCCTGAGGACCTGCGGCTGGTGCTGATGCCCTGGGGCCCGTGGCACTGCCACTGCAAGTCGGGCACCATGAGCCGGACCCGGGCCGGGAGGCTGCAGGGCCTTTCTGGGCGCCTTCGAGTTGGGGCACTGAGCCAAGTCCGAACAGAGCACCGGCCTTGCACCTACCATCAATGTCACTGTGATCGCCGCAGTGAGGAGTGCCCCCTGGACTCCAGCCTCTGTTCTGAGACCAGCTGCCTCAGTCAGTCCACCACCCCCACCCCTACCCCCCTACC